AATTGTAAGCTTTTAACTAATTTTTACAGTGTTAATTAATTTTATTGTTTTTGACCAGCGCGATATTGTAACGATTTTGTATAGTTTTTTATTGTTAAATGTATTATTTTCTCTTTTGTTTAGTTTTGCGTTTGTCTTGACGTTGTCAGGACACCACGTCAACGATGCAATTTGTTATGCGGATCGGTGTAACTTAAATTAAAGCACTTGAAAAGGACCGGAATTCGGTCGAAACGTCGTGCAATCTTGTTTTAATTGGCCAGTTGGGTCGAAAATAAAACGACTTACTAAGAATAAAAGCCTACAAAAAAAGATTAATTGTAATGAATGTAATATAACCTATAACCATGTCTATCATCATTGTCTATACAAGGACAGATATAGAATTCGGTCGGTAATACAGACGGCTTTAGGCTAATCAAAACATCCCATTTTGACACGCTTAGTGGAAACTCAGCCTTATGCTGGGTTTACAATGGGTGCGTTCAGCCGATACTCCGCTAGCCTAGCAATCGTGAGCAGTCGCTCGTTTCCTCTCCTTTTAATCCATTGGGTCAAAGGAGAGGAAACGAGCGAAAACGAGCGACTGCTCACGATTGCTAGGCTAGCGGAGTATCGACTAAACGCACCCAATGCGAGTCGCAAAGTCGTGAGTCGCAAGAATTGACTAATCACAGTCGAATTTGAGGAGAATGATCGACTGTGATTGGTCAATTCTTGCGACTCACGACTTTACGACTCGCATTGTAGATCCAGCATTGTAGACTGTACTGTACCCTGTATCCGGAAATTGCGATTAATCGAACTTCCGTCACCTCTAGAGTGCACTAGGAACAAGTTGATTTACAGTCATAGGCGTTTTAGAGGTTAGATCACGATCTGACACTATTTGTTTTTGAAGTTTTGTATGATAGTTGCTTCGTCGGCAATACGGATCGGGAAACGCAACGTCGTTAATTATTTCATGGAAATGGTATGTGCACGTGTATGCCTCGACGTCGAGACGTGTGCGAGCGAGGGTCGTGGTTGACCAGGCGCGCGCGTTCTACGCTGCAAGTTTCTCGCGGAATTCTCCGTTCCACCTAGTCTTCGCATCGCTATCTTCTATATTATGAAGAAACGTCAAAGAAGGCCGGTCCTGACGCTCAATAAGCCGCAGGGCAACTATCACGGCGAACACGCGCAAAGTAAATATCAATGTTTGTTTTTAGTTGGCAAACTGAATATGTCGACAGTTTTTTTATTTCTTTCGATCACTGTACTTACAAATATACTTTATTAACATTAATGATCATTGAAATATGCATTGAGAATTAAGGGGATCCTATAGCCGGGTCTGTAATACCGACATTTGTTTTAACCTCAACTTGCGAAAACATTCGCTTTATATAAAAATTCTACAGTGTATTGTTACAAAAAGACTGTGGCGTGGTCAGCGGATTACATCTAAAAATACGATACCGTTGTCAGAATTAGGTTTAGACTCTAAACAAAAAAGTTATCTGTGAAAAATGATTATTGCAAACGTGCACTAAAAGTGGGACGCGTGCACTTTTAGTGCACGTTTGCAATAATCACTTTTTCACAGATAACTTTTTTGTTTAGAGTCTAAACCTATTTCTGACAACGGTATCGTATTTTTAGATGTAATCCGCTGGCCACGCCACAGTTTTTTTGTAACAATACATTGTAGAATTTTTATATAAAGCGAATGTTTTCGCAAGTTGAGGTTAAAACAAAGTGTCGGTATTACAGACCGGTATAGGATCCCCTTAATGCGTAGTGTGTTATCACTTGTTTATTATATGTTTACTATGTCATATTATTTGTATTATGTATTGTTGCAGGTAGGTGTAAGCCAATAAATAATGTACAACCCATGCAGAATGAGGCCAATAATCCATTGGCTAACATGTTGTGCCAATACAACTCCGACAGCGACACGGAAGATCCTAAGAAAGATACACAGAAATTGGACGATCAAGTCAATGATTTCTTTAAGGTAAGTAGTTGATGACATGTTTTCTATATAAAAAAAAATTATACTTATGCATGTTTGTAGGAAATTCAACTGATTGCCCCTGAACAACCTGTCCCGAATGTTGCTAATGATTCAAGTTTAACGACTAAAGCAGTTTCACGATCTGCACAACATACAAGCCAACAAACATGTAAGGATTTAAAATAAATAATAGAATATAACAAATATAATTAATATTATTGTGCGACATTTAAATGTTTGTCATTTCAGTATGGCAAGAATGTTATGACGAATCTACTGGTTATCCTTATTATTGGCATATCGAAACTAATGAGGTAACATGGGATATGCCAAAGGAGTTACGTTTATTACAAAAACAATCAGAGGTTGGACCTGCAGCAAAACATCCTATCCAAGGACCACATTGGGTAGATTTTTCATCTATCGCATGTAATTATCATTTTATAAATCTTTCTACTTCTGATATTTTAATAAGGGAGGATATTATCGATGAGCATTGGTTGTAGATCGGCAATCTCAAGCAAATATACCGGAAGGCATGATACCACAGGAAGTGGTAGCAAGAAATCGTAACAGATTCTTGCATAATGAAACTCTTAAGAAATGTAATCCGGAAAGCAAATCGGAAATTAAGAACGAGTCCCCGACGAAGGATGATGATTCGGATGATGGGTACAGTATAAAAATTATATTTTAAATAGAATTGTACTATCTTGATGTGACAGTTAAAAAATGTGAAGTTAAAAAATGTATTACAATTTTATAGACGGATAGAGATGATAACATCTTTTGGTAGCGATGGAAGTGATTCGGAAGAGGAAAATAATTCCTTAGACGAGAATAAGCTGTCGACGTCTTTATCTGAACCTGTAAAGTCTGTGTCGTATTTAAAAAACAGCGAAATTGGACCTGCCTTCTGTCCAACGGGAATACAGTCGCCTACTAAAAATTTGTTTTATTCATATAAATCTGATTCAACTGACATATCAAACTCTACAAGTTATCCTGAAGAACCTGAGGAGCGTAAAATAACTGAATCCGATAGTAAGAGTAGTATAGTTGAAGAGTTACTGACGGAAAACAAAAATATGAAAGATACTAATGCATGTAATACAGTTCCAAAATTGGATCTCAATGTGTCTTTAGTACCTGGTTATGGAGATGATTCGGATGGAGAAGAGGAAGCTAGACCTAAGCAAGAAATAAAGCCTTTGTTCCCAATTGCGCAGAATGAGGAATACTTAAACGTAACAAACTCGTTAAAAAATACTCATGATGTTTCTGTGAAAAATTCTAGCAATGTTCAAGGTCCCGATCAGTGTAGCGGCAGCAACGAAGATACGCAAGAAATGAAGAATGATCCCGAAAAAACAGAGGAGAAGGACTCGAAGACAGAGGAAGATAAATCTAAGACAAATATATTTCTGGAGGATATGCAAGTGTGCGGCAAAGCTTTTCAAAGAAAGAAGCGGATAGCATTTGATGGTATTAATTATATAGATTATGTTTTTATCTAATTTTATTCTATAATAATTATATGTAACAAATATTTGTATCCTTTTTCTTAAAATTTTTTATATCAAATTTTTCATTTGTCCTAAAAATTATATCTTTATATTATTAAACAAATAATTTCCTCCTTAATTGTGTAGTTACATCCACTAAAGTTAAACAAAGTAATAATACGTGTCACGAAAATACAATTCGAGATGATAACAGCAATGACCTTATGAGCACTGAAACTATTTCACGCAATGCCGAGGACGGCGAAGCAGGAGTGCAAAATCAATTGTGTGCAGAAAGTCAAAAGGAATGTGATGAAGTACATAAAGAAACCGAACAGTGCATTAGCATTAATACTGAAGAAAAGTTTAATTTGAAAGACGAATCGTGTGACTCAGAAATATCTGCCGAACATAAAACAGTATCGAACATTATTGAGGAAAAGGCTAACGAAGAGATGAACGATTTGTCTCAGATTATAACGGAGAAATTGAGGTTTCTTTCCGAAGGAAGAGAGAGTGTCTCTGCTGTTCAAACAATGCAAATTCAATTACAAGTTAGTATTTTATTTATATACAGGGTGTCCTTGTACTCAGTGCTGAAGCTGAACTGGCTTTAGCACATGAAAACAAGTCGAAAATTTCAATAAACATATATCTGAATCCAAATAGAATTTCGAAGTTATAGGATATTGAAGTTTCGTAAAATTTCGTAAAAAAACAAATTGAAATAAATGTTGTTTAACGTTTTTTATTCTGTTTAAAGCTTTACAAAATATGCTCAAAAATTCCTCTGTCGACTTTAACACACTTTCTAGCACAAATTAATAATTTGTTTCATACTTTTTGTTAAGTATATGTTTGGAGTTCCACGGATGACATCGGCAGTATTAAGTGTCAGTTGCTATGATTATTTTGAATCGTAGATGAATTTTTGAGTACCGTTTGTAAAACTTGAAACAGAATAAAAAACATTAAATAACATTTACTGCAATTTATAGTCCGGGAAGCAGGGACACTAATTTCTGTCCAATTTCAGGATGGCTGGTTTAATCTTTTTTTTTTACAGTATTTGTGCTAAAATATAGCAAAATGGCCGTCAGCTGTCACACCACGTGCACAGGACCCGGCAATAAAGTCTAAAATATGTAAATAATAATGGTATATTTGACTTGTATCAGCAAAGTTGAAATTTTTTGAAATATTAGTTTATTGCATAAAACGTAAGAAAAATGCAATCAGCTATTTTATCTCGTGTGCGGTATGCGTCAGCTACGCACGTAAACGTGTTAAAAAAATGTAATTAGTTGACTTATATCAGTAAAGTTGAAATTTATTTTAAATGATAGTTTAGTGCATAAATGTAAGAAAAACGCAGTCAGCCAATTGTCAGAGTGTTCAAACGTCTAACTGACGCGTTTAAAGATGCAGCGCGGCGAGTCGCACGCACTACACCGCGCAATACTATTTACAAGAACACAATCAGTCAGTCTGCGGGGTGTTCAAACGTTTAG